TACTGTTTGACGAGCCGGTGTCCCGAACGGATCTAAGACCAGCGACCCACATCCTGCAGCGGCAGCGAAAATTTGTAAGGCCACCTCCTCGATCTTTCGGTAAGCGCGGAACGGCCGAGACCCGTGTGTCAACAGGAATTTATCGCGATACCGAGCGTATGGGCTCGTATGCAATATATTGTATAAAGTACCGAGAATCTAGCGTGGTACGCACGGGACTCGCGTCTATAGCCGCGTAATTAAGTAATGGTACATCTCTCCGCCTTCTTCGCCTCTCCGAGGAGCACTGAAACGAGTCGACAGTCGTTGTAGAATCGTGTAATTTTAGTTTTGAGACTTTCGCGGCCATTGGAATCATCAATGCAAAAAGTTTCCGGATGGATGCCGCGTGGTTTAACAGCGTAATGCCGACGTTTCGCAAACGTCCAATATCGGAGCTCTCAGCCCTGAAGATGCAAACTGCAACGTTTGCGAAACGTCGGCATTACGCTGTTAAACCACGCGGCATCCATCCGGAAACCTTTTGCATTGATAATCGTGTAATTTGTTGTCTTGTTATATCGAGTCTTTTGTTCAAGAACATTGTAAATTACTACCGCTGGATTAGAGTATGGTGTTCACGATCCCGAGCTGATAATGAACGGAGGAGAATAACGATAATGATAACTGGAAAAAAACTAGCGACCTTCTTTGAGCTCGAAAATATATATTATACAAACGCCTTGTTTCTGCACACCACTAACTGGTGGTGAAAATATACTCTGCTTATTTTATCTTATATCTGATGGTGGATTATATTGATATTTCCTTTCTCTCTCCGAGACTGCGATTCCGACTCTCCTAACGTAAAGAACTCCGCCCCTTTACCCCATGTCGATACCGAGCTTCTGAGGCTAAGCCGTTGTGCCCGCTAATTACGTGTCGCGATATTAATGAGTGGTGCGGCCTGACCGTATCTGGCGCTCAATCTTTTGTTTTGGATAGCGATCGAGGGATCGCGAGCGCGGCACGACGAAGTTGCGCGTCAGTCTCTCTCTCTCTCACACTTTCTCTCTCTCTCTTGGCGAGAGAGGACGGAGAGACGGTTGCATGTCTATTAGTAAAATTATTGATACCACAAAACATACATACTTCGCACAATGTGCTACTTGTTGAAGGTTGCCGATTTAATCAATTTATAAATGAAATTCATTTTGTACACCTATCAGATTCTTTTGGAAATTGAAATAATATGCACGCAAACAATTTTATTATTTTGCTAAAATAATTTTCTTGTTTCCTTTAAATAATAGTCTTGTTTTATTTAAGGAAATTATTATGTTGTTTGAATAGTTTAGTTGTATCACGTAAACAATTTTATTATTTTGCTAAAATAATTTTCTTATTTCCTTTAAATAATAGTTTTGTTTTATTTAATGAAATTATTATGTTGTTTGAATAGTTTAGTTGTATCACGCAAACAATATTATTATTGATTATTATGATAACATTTATTTGGTTGGACTATTCCAATAATTAAATTTGACTATTTTATTTTGTTTAAAAATTAATAGAGAATATATAATCTGAAAATCCAAAATAGAATTAGTTAAACACTTCACTGAAATATATACCTATATAGATTGTGAAATAATGGGCCAATAAATAAACAATATACAATAATATATCTTCGAAAATATTTATTATATTTATGTATATATATGCTTGTATAAAAAGTTTATAAAGAAAAATCTGTTTACATTTTCAGAAATCAAAATTGAAAACAAAGCATATGTAATAGAAAATTAATTCTACATACTTAAAATTACAATTATTATATATATACATTTAAATAAATTAAATATTTAAATTCAAAATTTTTTTCAATATTATATTGAATTAAAAATCGTGTGATTTAAGCCAAATATTTAGAAATAAAACGTATGATTAGAAATCAAATAAGTAGATCAATTTTAAATAATTAAAATGTCTATATTATAGTTATACTGTGAATTATGAATAAAATAAAAGAAAAATTTTAAAAAAGAGACATGTATATGATAATATTAGATTTTTACCTGTTGTTATTTGATCTTCGAGCAAATCATATAGAGATTCATCAGATGGTTTGAGATGTTCTTTAAGCTTATCATAAATAAGAAGATATAAAAAAACTTAAAAATAACACAAATGTTATAAAAATCTGATCAACCAAGAAACCAAAATTTATAATTTAAATGACAATATTGTATTTGTTCGATACACGACCGATGTGACTTGCGCCGGACACCGATCGCGGTGATATCACTGCTTTCTTTCTCGTCTCATTTCGGCGAAATTCGACGTATTCCGAAAACACGGACGAGTGGGGAAATGAGTCTCGATGATCTTCATTGATATTTTCGTGAAAACACTTCTCTTCCAACTGTCACGCTAATAACAAATAAGACATTCACAACAACCGGCGAGCGAATGCACGAATACTGTACATCGATCTACTCGGCACCGCAACAATAAATCTCGATCCTGAGAACTAAATTTGATTGCATATGTTACGTGGATTTCCCCGTCGCATCACGGTTTGGCGAGACAATACGATTAGGAACATTCCGTATATCAATACTCGCATCACGCATACGAGATCATTTTTTCGTACAAACGTTGGTCCTTCGAGCCGGATTTTCTACTCCGGAGAAGCGGTGTACCCAAGTGAGGAGTCATAAGGTCAAAGCGAAGCAGCAGCGAGCATGAGGACGTTCGTTCGTCTACAAGGCAGACAATTTGGCCATTCGGAAGGAAGTGAATAAGGCGCATGCTGCCGGGCGTCGGGTTGCAGTGCGGTACATAGTCGCGGATCGCTGAGGACGAATCCGGATTCGGAGCAGCATCCCGAGCAGTAACGTGGCACATTGGCACAAGTAAAGTGACGACGTGGCTGGTAAGTCTGTTTATCTGCACCAATCAATCGTTAACGTCTTCAAGTTTGGGTCACGCAATTTCGAAATTATGCCTCTCAATTATAGCCCAGCGGCGGGCTCGTCCAGCGCAGAGACACTTCGTGCATCATCCAATTTAGCCGATTATAAACGACGACGCGGAATTGTTAAGGGCTCATGCACGCGCATGGAGACTTTTTTAAACAATATAGTCGCACTAACCGACGATACTCGAGCGCAGGTAGAGATCCGACAAGCCCGTCTAGAATCGTTCCTGGAAGATTATTGTAAAATAGAAACACAAATTGAAATGATCGACGCGAAGGAGGCAAACGATAGAATCACGTTCGAAGAATTATTTTATGCATTATGCGCGAGATTTCGCCAACTTTTACAATGCGACAATCAGTCGAGCGCGCGGAGAGGTTCCACGCAGAGTTCAACAAGAGTTGAGAGCGAGGCTATATCTCATGTACGCTTGCCAAAAATTAATTTGCCAACTTTTTCGGGAAAGTACGAAGATTGGTTTCCGTTTCGAGATACCTTCATAACAATAATTCACAATAACACGTCGTTGAGCGATGTTCAACGGTTTCAATATTTACGGGCAGCGTTAACGGACAAAGCACTTGACATTGTGAAACCGTTAGAGATTTCTGGAAACAATTATGACCTTGCGTGGAGCCTCTTAAAGGAGCGTTACGATAATAAACGCGTGATTGTACAGACTCATGTGCGGGCAATATTCGAATTGCCAGTTCTAACAAAGGAAAACGCGAGTGACCTTCGGCAATTAGCTGACGGGGCATCGATGCATATTCGCGCGCTAACGGCATTAAATTGTAATGCCGATAAATGGGATGCCTTACTTATACATATTATAACGTCTAAATTAGACACAATCACGTCGCGTGAGTGGCATGCTTCGTTGCAGGGCTCTGAATTGCCCACATTTAAAGAGCTAATTACCTTTCTTTCGCATCGCAGTCAGATTCTGGAGGAATCCGCGAGAAGGGGTTCAATCTCGTCCGTTCGCTCCGACTCTCGGTCACAATCGCGTTCTAACGTTGGACGTCAAACATTGCACACGACTATCGAGAGGGGCAAGTGCAACTATTGCGCCGGCGAGCATTTGATCTACTTTTGTAGGGAATTCCTAAAACTGCCGATCAGCCAGCGAATCGCGGAAATGCGTAGCAGGAGAATGTGCCTCAACTGCTTACGCAGCCAGAATCACGTCGCAACCAAATGCTCTTCTGGCAGTTGCAGAACGTGCAACTTAAAACATAACACGTTATTGCATATATCCAAGAATGAGAAAGAGATAAGTAACGCGAGCGCGCCGTCGACGCCGACCGACTCGTCGCCGGTCGCGGACGGGTGATCGGCCGTCGCGACTCATAGCGCGGTTGAGCGAGGCGATACGGAGGTGTTGCTCTCAACGGCGATCGTTTACATATACGATGCGAACAGTACTCGCAAGACATGCCGTGCCCTGTTAGATTCAGGGTCACAGGTGAATTTCGTGACAACCAAATATGTAGGATCGTTGGGTTTAAAACCGCAATTCGTAAATTTCTCGGTTTCGGGCATATACGGCGACTCATCCATTTTAAACGAAACCGTAGACATCAAACTGCAATCGCGATTCAATTCATTCACGGCTGAGATCGAGTGTATCGTGGCGGAGCGAATCATAAAGGACAAGCTTCCGTTAAACACTATTAAACGTGAAACATTCAGACTGCTTTCCGGCGTCGAGTTGGCGGATCCGCGATTTAATGTGTCGTCCGACGTCGACTTGTTAATAGGCGCCGATCTATTTTGACGGTTGTTGTGCGTGGGGCAGATCCAGGCGACTTCCGGATATCCAATCTTTCAAAAAACACGTTTGGGTGTATTGTGGGCGGACGCTCACGCGTCGGTGCATCACGACCGGAGACTGGGCTGCACTCGTTTCACGTATCAATTAGCAATTTAAAACTTCACGAGCAAATCGAACGATTTTGGCGGATCGAGGAGTTAGGCGATTCGAATCATTACACAAAGGACGAACGCGCATGTGAAACCCATTTCATAAACAGCATGTCAACCAATAACAAGGGCAGATACATCGTGACGTTGCCCATCAAAAACGATGTTTTGCAACAACTGGGAGACTCGCGCGAAATAGCAATAAAGCGATTCCTCGGCCTTGAGAAGCGACTTCATCGCGACTCAAGTATGAGGACTTCATACGTTCAATTTTTGCGCGAGTATTTGGCCTTGGGACACATGCGACTCGTACCCGCACATACGGTCGATAAGGAATCCGTTTATCTGTCTCATCATGGGGTGTTTAAGGGGATCGGCCGGAATGCGAAGTTACGTGTGGTTTTTGACGCATCGTGCAAAACCACGTCGGGAATTTCTTTGAATGACGCCTTGATGATAGGTCCTACGGTTCAGCAGGATTTGATATCAATTCTCACTCGCTTCCGCACGTTCGCGTACGTCTTTACTGCAGACATAGTTAAAATGTATCGACAGGTACTAATTCATGAGTCACAACTACATCTGCAACGAATATTGTGGCGCTAAAACTCGAATTCGCCGGTCGGTACTTATGAGTTGCTTACCGTCACTTACGGCACTAGCTCGGCGCCATTTCTCGCGACGAGATGTCTTCAGCAGTTGGCACAAAAACATGCCCTCGACTAGCCCGCGGGGGCACAATGCGTTCTTCGAGATTTCTATGTGGATGACTTGCTCGCCGGCGCCAATACGTTGCCCGAAGTAAGGCGCATTCGCGACGAAGTGATAACCTTATTAAGGCGCGGACAATTTAAGCTCGGCAAATGGTCATCGAATTGCCGAGAATTGTTACAGGGCATTAGTGACACAACAAGTGCGGAGGTGTCATTAGGCGATGAAGCGGGCTCGAAAATATTGGGAGTCGCATGGGATCCGTCCAGCGACGGATTTCGCTTTGGATAATTGCGGCGCGCCGACGGGTAGCATAACGAAGCGGACGATCTTGTCGGAGATCGCGAGTCTCTTTGATCCTTTGGGATTATTAGGGCTACTGACGGTCGTGGCAAAAATGATCATGCAAGATACGTGGCAGTCTCACGTCGGGTGGGACGAGTCCTTGCCGCAAGATTTACATCAGCGATGGCTAGACATAAAACAACAATTGAAGCGCCTTCACGAATTGCGTGTGCCGCGTTTTGTCGGATTTTGGGCAGACGCGCGCGAATCACATGTACACGGCTTTTGTGAGGCGAGCGGCGCGCGTACGGCGCGTGCGTATACATGAGAACGCGCGATTCCGACGGATACCGGGTGGAGCTTTTAATTTTTAAATCGCGAGTAGCACCAATTAGAGCAGTTTCGTTACCGCGGCTAGAATTGAGTGCCGCGTTATTGCTATCCCATTTAATCGAGAAAGTTCGCGCATCGGTTGACTTATCGAACTCAGAGATGATTTTATGGACGGATTCCACAATCACGATACAATGGATATCGTCGCCGTCGCGCAAATAGAACGCTTTCGTGGCCAATCGCGTCGGCGAAATACAACGCCTTACCGGGGGATCAAGCTGGCGGCACGTGCCGTCCGCTCACAATCCCGCGGACATATCGTCGCGCGGCGTCGATCTGGCGGGCTTAATGCAATCGACAATTTGGTGGAACGGACCTGCATTCCTGTAGTTAACTGAGAAACATTGGCCGGCCAAATTGTGTATCGACTTGTCGGGCGAGTTACCGAAACAGAAAAGGGTAACCGCGCAGCGGTGATATCCATACAACAATTGATCGTACTAAATTTGTTGGACAAACATTCCAATTTAGATAAGACATTGCGAATCATTGCTTATTGCCTAAGAGCAGCGCGTGCGCGTACGATCAAATTTCAGACAACGTTTATTTCGCATGACGAAATAACAGCCGCTCTGCGAGTCGCGGTGAGGTGCGTACAGAGACATGCCTTTCCAGGGGAACATAAACAGTTGACCGAGGGTCGTAGCGTTGACGGCGGAAGTCGGATTCTGTCATTGACTCCGTTTATGGATGAACACGAGATCAATAGAGTGGGGGGCCGAATAAACAATGCAACATTGCCATATGACGCGCGACATCCCGTGCTATTGCCAAAGAGTCACCGATTGACAATCTTAATCATACAACGAGAGCATGTAAAAAATTTGCATTCAGGCCTACAGGCCACAATGCATGCGGTGCGTCGACGATTTTGGCCTCTAGCGGCGCGTTCGGCTGTCCGAAAAACAATTCACAATTGCGTAACCTGCTTCAGGTGTAAGCCGGCTGTATCGCAAGCATTAATGGCAGATTTGCCCGCGCAACGCGTGACGGCTTCGAGACCGTTCACCCATAGCGGTGTAGATTATGCCGGACCCATACTCTTAAAAAAGGGCAAGAGACGCAATGCCAAATTACACAAGGCGTATATGTCGGTGTTCGTTTGTTTCTCGACCAGGGCCGTACACCTCGAGATTGTAACCGATTTAACATCGGAAGCGTTCCTTGGCGCCTTTAAACGCTTTATATCGCGTAGAGGCAGGCCGGCGTGTGTATATTCAGATAACGGCACTACGTTTGTCGGCACGCGTAAACAAATAAAGGAGCTGTATGACTTGATCAACGACGACGACACGCAGCTTGCGATACAGCGTTTTATGCGAGATAATGAAATCAATTGGCATTTTATACCGCCCCACGCTCCGCATGTCGGGGGCCTGTGGGAGGCGGCCGTGAAGTCGGTGAAATTTCATATTAATCGAATAGTAGGTAATGCGAATCTCACATATAAAGAGATGCAAACCGTGTTATGCGAGATAGAAGCGGTTTTAAATTTGCGACCGTTGACCCCGTTAAGCGAAGATCCAAACGATCTGCATTGTATTACGCCGGGACATTTCTTGATTGGTGCAGCGCTAAACAGTTTCCGAGTTGCAGATCTTACGAAGGAGAATCCGGGCCGACTGCTGCGATGGCAACGCGTAGAGTAGCTTTGGCAACACTTTTGGAAGCGTTGGAGCGCCGAATATTTACATACTTTAATCGAGCGACAAAAATGGAGGGCTAGCAGGGGCCAGCATTTGAAGATCGGTGAGCTCGCCATGATGCAGCAACCAGGCTTGGGGCCGCTGCAGTGGTCAATAGGCAGGGTGCAACAACTTCATCCGGGCCCTGACGGTATTGCAAGGACGGCCACACTAAGGACCGCGAAGGGTCAATTAACAAGGCCGTTAACGAAACTAGCTATCCTTCCGATAGACGAGGCACCTGCCGATTAAAACGCGTTTTACACATTGTAAAATTTAAATTATGATTTATTTGATCAATTTTGACCTTGAGTAGATCGATCGCGAGCTAATGAATGTAATAATTTATTGGGACAATTTGACGAAACAATTTTTATTGTAAATTGTGATGTGCGATAATGTCATTTTCAAGTTCTATTTATGTTACTATTTACCCTTTATTTATATTTTCAATTTAGGATATTACATGTTTCTATTTGGATCGCGAATAATAATTCACGTGTTGAAGGCATGCCCTTCAAGGGGAGCGGGATGTTCAATACATGACCGATGTGACTTGCGCCGGACACCGATCGCGGTGATCTCACTGCTTTCTTTCTTGTCTCATTTCGGCGAAATTCGGCGTATTCCGAAAATACGGACGAGTGGGGAAATGAGTCTCGATGATCTCCATCGATATTTTCGTAAAAACACTTCTATTCTAACTGTCGCGCTAATAACAAATAAGACATTCACAACAACCGGCGAGCGAACGCACGAATACTGTACATCGATCTACTCGGCACCGCTACATTAAATCTCGATTCTAAGAACTAAATTTGATTGCATATGTTACGTGGATTTCCCCGTCACATCACGGTTTGGCGAGACAATACGATTAGGAACATTTCGTATATCAATACTCGCATCACGCATACGAGATCATTTTTTCGTACAGTATTATCTTACTAAATCGATTGCATCTTGTGTTCTTAAAATAGGCCACTGCTCAAAGAATTCATCAAGAGATAAATGTGTAATATTTTTAATAGGAAAAGAAAATTTTTAATGGTTCATAACTTCATGCTTTGGTTCACGGTTATGCTTAAGCCATATCTGACAATCTTGCATTTCTCTTGATATATCTGGAATTACAAAGAATTAAGGTATTGTAAATTTGTAAATTGATAAATATTTTCTTCTACAACACAAATTAATAATTTGATATAATATATATATATAAAAACTAAGAAGTCACCAGTCGATAATTAAAAATGGTAATAATTTCGTCAACCATATCTGGCTATAAATAATATTTATTAAACTTTACGACGTTTTGGCCATGGGTTTCGGCCCTTATCAAGTGCTATATACAATTAATATATAATTAAATTAATAATATTACAGATTTATACGAATTAGGTGCTTAAATATTAATATACTAACCTACTTAATACCGCATTATTATAACAACACTACTTTTTTGATCTTAGGTCATGACGTGATGTAATGTCATAATAATGTGTTACGAACTAACTATATTAATATGTCAATACGGAACTATTTATATACTATATCAGACTAAACGACCTTTATTAATTTTTCGTAGACATTGTTTAGATTGTCAGTATTTTTTTGTAAGTTAATATTATTGTCAAATTTCTTGATGAAAACATCTCCGCTATTTTCGTTTTCTGACGTTTTTTTCATGATGTAAAATTTCGGGCGAAGACCAATTGAAATCATGTCACATATCAATTTTATGATTAGTAATGACCGAAAAATTACTACTGTGTACCTTGATGTTATTAAAATGTTCCTTTACACGTGTGCCTAATTGTCGTTTAGTTTGACCTATATATAGATAGATAGATAGATAGATAGATATGTTTATTGTTGCTCCAATTAGAGATTACAAGGCGCTTTTTTTTCTCGTTTAAAGGAGCGGTCCTAAACCTTTATACCTCCATTTACATTCCACCTTAACTTATACCTTAATCTTACAACTTAAATCTAATTAATTTAATCTATATAATCATATATACAGTCATATATATAGTCATAACAAAAAACAATCGCCACGCCGCTCGCTTCGCCGTCTACCATGCCTTTCCTCGCCTTTCCATTCTACCTACTTCCTGCCTGCTCTTACACACACCCGACCCTTTTATCCTAGTTTTTCTTATCCTACGTTTTCTTATATACTATTTTCGCCATCTTATTTACTCCTTAACCTAAGTGGGACCTCCGCTTCCGTTACTGTTACCCTTTCTCACTACTTCTTTCACTCTTCCCTCTCCTCCCTCTCTCTCTCTCTCTCCTTTCTCTCTCTCTTTTCCTCTCTCCCTTCTCTCACACACAACACACCCTCTCTCTCTCTCTCTCTTCCCTCATCTCTTACCCTCTCTCTTCCCCCTCTCCTCCTTTCCCATCCTTTCCATTCTCCCCTTCCCCCTCCCCTCTTGCTTTTCTCTAACCTTTTTAGCCACGTTTCCCCCCTTCTCCCCTCTCTCCTAACACCTCCTTCACCATTTCCTGCCAACTCTCTTCCTTCCCCATTCCATGCATTCCTCCCACACATGCTCCCACGTTTCCAACCCTCTCCCACACATTCTGCTGCACTTCCTCTCCTCCTTTTTTTTCCCAGTATCTATTTCCCCTCATCCCATTCCCCAATCTATACCTTGCTATTCTCCTCCACCTGTCTTCCGTCCACCTTTTCTTTAGATAGCCCGGTATTTTTCCCTCCCTTTGACCTGCTTGTACCATTTATTGTATTCCGACTTTTCTATTTTTTCTATCCTCTCTTCCCTCTGCTCCTTCCTTTCCCATCCTCACTCTCAACTTCTGCCCATCTAAACTCACCTTTTTCTCTCTTTCCTCTATCTCCCTTATTTCCATCCTCTTACCCTCAAGAAATCCCTCCTTCCTCTCTCCCAATCTGACAATACCTCTCCTTTTTTTTGCCCTTTCTTTGATCTCCCCCAAACATACTTTCGCCAGCCACCCTCCCTTACCCTCCTCTAGTCTCTCTCATACCCCCACGCCCTTCTTCGCCCTTCCCCATCCTTGTCCTTATCTTTTCCTTCTGCAAGCTCCTCCCTTACCATATAACCAGGCGTTCCCTAATCTACTCCTAACATCCATCTCAAATACCTTTCTTGTATCCTTTCCATCCCCTCTCTCTCTTCCCATCCCCATATCTCCACCCATATCCTAAAACCGTCCATACTAATGCATCAAATAGCCATATCCTCCTCCCCCAATTACTACCAAATCTCCTCTTACCTATCCCCCATACTTGTCCCATAGCTACTGCCCCTCTCTTTATCCTGTCCTTTACCTGTCCTTCTTGCCTCCCATTCCTTTGTATTATATACCCTAAATACTTATACTCCTTAACCTTCTCTAATTTTTTACCTTTCCAGACCCAGCTAGCCTTTTTTTCACCTCCCTCCACCTTTCCTGCACCTCATCATCTTCAATTCCTCTCATTCAATTCCAGTCCCTTTTCCTCCAGATATCTCCCTAACCTTTCCATCATGCACCTCATCCCCCCCCTCATCCTCTGCCATCAATACCACGTCATCCGCGTACGCTAACGTGTAGACCTTGCCCTCCCCATCTCCCTTTCCTCATCTCCTCCTTCATGTCCGCCATCAACATATTAAAGAAAAGAGGACTCAGAGGCATCCTTGTCTCACCACCCCTCCCCGTCCAAAACTTCTCCCCCCCCACCTCTTCCCCTATTCTAACCCTGAATCTTATTTTTCCTAACCCTTCCTCACATCTCCTTAACCGTCTCTTCCTTCACCCCCCTCCCTCTTACGCTGTCATCAGTTTCACCCTGTCCACCGAATCAAACGCCGCTCTCAGGTCCACAAAGAATAGCACCATTTGTCTTCCTTTCCTGCTTATTTGCCTGTTTATCAAATAATTCAGAACATAGATATTATCTACCGTTCCCATCCCTTTCCTGAACCCAGTTTGATTCGGTGGTAACATCCCTCCTTCCTCCACCTCCCCCATCAATCTCTCCGCTAACACCGACGCATACACTTTGTATAATGACGGTGTCAACGTTACCCCCCTATACTCTGAAACCTCCCTTTTCTCTCCCCTCTTCAAAATTGGCACCACCAGCCCCTCACTCCACGCCCCAATCCACACCTTCCCTCTTCCATATCCTATTGCATATCTCCCCCATACCCACTTCTCTATTCCCTCCCCTCCATATTTCCACACTTCTCCCGGTATCCCATCCACCGTATCGCCCACCGCCTTTCTTTCCTTTAACCTGCCTATCGCCCTCCTAATTTCTCCCTTTTCTATTTGGCTTCTTCTTCCCTCCCCGTCTCCTCCTATTTCCTCTCATTACTACTCTCGATTCTATCTACCCCCCTAATAGCTCCCCTAAAATATCTGTTCCACTCTTCTATCTCAATCCCTCCCCCATTCCTCCTTTGCCTTTCCCCCCCTTTTCCTCCTAACCACCTCCCATACCTGTCCTCTCCGTCCTCGCTTCCATTGCCTTCCTCGTCCACTCCACATTATCCTCTTCTTTTTTTCTTCCTACCCTATCTCTTGTACTCTTTTTTTCTTTTTTCTGTATTCTTCCCTTTCCCTTCCCCCCCTATCCTCTTCCCACCTTTTCAATTTCTTTGCCACCTCCCCCTTTTCTCTTTTCCACTCCCTGTCAAACCACCCCCCTCTTTTTCTCTCTTTTCTCCTTTCCTTCCCCCTCTTTCCCCCTTGTCTAGCACTTTCTGTATCTTCCATTTTCTTCTCTTTCTTTCTTCCTTCCCACTTCTTCTTCCACCCCTTCCTCTTCTTGTTCGTCCCTCTGCTTCTCCCATATTTCCCCTATCCTCTCCCTAAATTTCTCCTTCCCCCTCCTTCGTCCAGCTCCATCTTCTTTTCCTCTTTATCCCTTTTCCTTCCCCTCCTCCTCCTTTCCCTCTGATCCATATTACCACCGGCATGTG